TTGTAGATTATTTTCTTAAAATAATATTGGAAATTATCTGAATGATACATAAAAGTATTTAAAACGTACAATTATAAAAATTAATACAAAGGACCATTGCAGCCTTTCATAATATTCAATATACAAACATAATTTCAATTCTTTATATAGAAATAGAAATGTCAATGTAAACAATTTTTGATTTATTTTTTTAACTTAAGATTAAAAATGCAAACATTTTGATTTATTTTTCTTCTGAATTCAAGATTTCTTCTCAAATCTAGACATTTCGATCTATTTCTTCTTAATAAATTAAATTGTAAAAAAAGTATTATATAGTATTATATAATAATACTTTTACATTTGGTATGATGCAACAAAAATATTGATTACGCTGTATATATAACTATGTAACATAATAATAATAATGAAAAAATAATTAGTATGATTAAGTGAGCACAATAGACATAAAAATAAAAAAACTATAAATATACTATCGTATAAAATTATAATATATAACATAGATGTACAAAACAAAACGTGATATTATATTAAAAACTTATTTATAATGAAAAAGTTGTAGAACACCAGACGAAAAATAAGTTTAATATTAATACATAAAAATAATGTCAAAATTCAACTGGTTTGTTTTTAATTTGTATCATTGAGAAGAATGTGAAGTAAATCGAAATGTATAGAACTTTATTATTTCTATTCGAATAATTGAAATATATTTGTATCAGAACATGTGAAAGATTTTAATTATATTTTTCATTATTTAATATAGTATTCATATACTTATTTTATATAATATAATTTATACATTATATAAATGCATATTCACTTTACACACGTTATACATATTTAAATAAAACATTTGTTAATATATGAAATCAAAATTAAATTTATTTATTTTAAAGAGTTTAATATTAAATGTTATTGCAACTTACTTTAGTTAAGTAATATATAAGTTTTATAATATTATTAAGCTTTCAAATAAGAATTATTTTAATTTTCTTTAAATAAATATTATTATATTTTTTACAAATTTTAATAAATTATTCATAAGAATTTCGATTTAGTTTTATTCATAAGAATGTATACATATTATAATGTAAACAATGTTTTATTTATCATGAAAACTTATAGAAAAAATAATATCTGATAAAATTGAAGACTTCTGATAAAATTAAAACCAATTGGCAAATATATTGTAAAAGTATTAAATACATTGTAAAGTATTTATTCACTTGAAAATGAATCGTTTTCAAATTAAGATTAATAAATATACAAATATATAAATTTGTATATTACATATTTGTATCTTTTAAAATTACAAAACTAAAAAATATATATATATATATATATATATATATATTCATAAATTTTTTTATATAAAATTTATACATATATCAAATAAAATATAATAAAATGTAATATTACAAAGATCTTCATTATACAAAGAAATATCAAAAAATATTTTTCTTTATATAAAAATTAATATTTTTTAACAAAAATTTTTTATAAAATACTAACTTATTAATTAACTTACTATCAAACATTGATTAAATTACATAAATTAAAATTTACACACAATCTTTTAATAATATAATAAATCAAATGTAGAAATTAATAAATAGGATCTAAATGAAAAGTGAAATCATAATATTTCTACATATTTATATTAATACGAATAATAAATCAATATTTATATTAATACAAATGATGAATCAATATAATTTATATATACTTCAATCCTTAGTTCACAATTCTTTTCAATATATATAATAACTATATATGTATATATACACAATAAATAGATATTTTCCGATTCACACATGGTGTATAGAAAATGTATAATATGTATAATATGTGAACTATATACATTTCTCGTCACTTCATGCGCATCATGTGTGAATCGGAAAATACTCAATGTCACGTTTCAAAACATAAAAACATAAGGTATCATCCCAAACATGCGTGATAGCTCGATATTTATATCTTGAAATGTAAGTAATATTGATTCTATATACGTATTGAAGAGAATTTGACTTATTTAATTTAGCTTCTTCAGTTATTTTCATATTAAATTACAAATTAAATAGTTATAAAAATAATATTAATAAATAAAGATTTATTAAAATTGATATTCAAAATAATATGTATAAATTGAATAAAATGTATTAATTAAATAGTTATAAAAATAATAAATTATATATATATATATATATATATATATATATATATATATACAGGGTGGGGCATTTATCTTGAGACAAGATAATATCTCGATTGGAGTCGATTATTTTGAAAAAAGTTTTAGACAAAAGTTGTAGGGCATTAAAGAGGCTATCGAAAGGTCCATATTACAACTTCCGGTCTAGACCAGAAGTGGCGTTTTTTGATCAAAATTCGTTTTTTTAAATGGAAACACCCATTTTTTGCCACGGATTTCGATTGGAAATCGAAAAAAAAATATTTTTTGTTCTTATTATTTTTTCGATTTAACCCATATTTTGGCCATAAAAAACAAAAAAACACAAAAATCTTGAGATAACGGAGTACCTTATTGGAATCCCTTTTTTAACTTTAAGGTTGAAAAACTGTACAACTATTAACTACTTTTAGCACTACCCAGGAATAACGACGTGGACGTAGTAGTTTTTTATCCCCTTTGGGGTGCTTGTTTTAGGTGAGTCCCCTTGCCTCTCACAATTTGGTATGATTGTCTTATCTGTTTGAAATTAATTTAATTTAATAAGTGCTCAAATTGGCGACCTTCGACTTCAATGCACTTATTGATCCGAACTTCCATAGATCGTACACAACTGCGGAGTACATCAGGTGATATTTTGGCACAAGCATTTCGGATTCGTTGCATCATATTTTCACGAGATGTTGGCACTTCTTTGTAAACTTCGCTCTTTATATAACCCCATAAATAAAAGTCTGGAGACGTAAGGTCTGGAGATCTTGCTGGCCAATTTACTGGACCCCCTCTACCGATCCAGCGTCCATTGAATTCGCGATCCAAAACTTCACGAGCAGTTCGGGAGTAATGCGATGGACATCCGATTAATCGTGTACTTATATTTAATCGTGTATTTACACTTAATCGTGTACTTACACTTAATCGTGTACTTACACTTAATCGTGTACTTAATACTTCGCGTATTAACACTTAATCGTTTACTATTTTATCGCAGTCAAACTGGAAATGGCAGGCTCTCATCAGTACAACGAAATTTATATCGTTATCTCCTACCACATCGTAGGCATAACAGACATACCATAGATCAGGAGTGTCGAAGGTCCGGCCCATGGACCAGACGTTCGATTCCCTGCCATAGATTTACGTTTTGGAGTGAGTTAAAAATATTTCTATATCTATGATAAAACGAGAGAACCTGCATACAATACAAATTATTACAATTACATTGTAGCAATGTCTCTGTAATGTTCCATTGCAATTTTGCAAATTGCAATGAAACATTACAAAGACATTGCAAAGAACAAATTGCCAACACAGTTGCAAGATAACGTAAATATTTCGGAAAAAATTTTAAATTAAAATTTTACAATTATATATTTTTAAAATAAAACATATAGGAAATATGCAAACTATAGATAATAAACTAAACTATTCAATTTTTACTTATTTTATCCTTATAATTGTTTAAATATTATAAAATCCATTTATATAAAAAAGTAAGGTTCACTTAAAGAGCTTTATTTAAAAAAAAATGAAATTTTTAATCTTCAAATCTCTAAAATATAAAACTTTTAAACTTATAAAAGTTATAAATTTTTACTTATAAGAAATATAATACATAATTAGCATCTGCTCAAAATCATTCAATTTTTTTATATGTAATAACTTTTCATATAACATATTATATAATTTTTTACAAATTAATAAAGTTTATAATAATCAAGTATATAATAAACATTGAGAAAGTATATAAAGTAATAGATAAAGTAATAGATATCTAAAGTATATAAAGTAATAGATATCTCATGCTATATAGTACATTACAATAAATGAAGATGAAAATCTAAATATTTCAATTTTCTATATCTTCTTAATAAATAAAATTGTGAAAAAAGTATTATAATACTTTTAGATTTGGTATGATGCAACAAAAATATTGATTACGTTGTATAATTGTGTAATATAATAATAATAATAATAAAAAATTTATTAGTATGATTAAGCAAGCACAATAGACACAAAAATAAAAAAACTATAAATACAGTGTCATATAAAATTATAATATATGACATAGATCTACAAAACATAATATTGTGTTAAAAATTTATTTTAATGAAAAAGTTGTAGAACATCAAACTAAAAATAAGTTTAATATTAATACATAAAAATAACGTCAAAAACTCAGCTGGTTTGTTTTTAATTTGAACCATTGAGAAGAATGTGAAGTAAATCAAAATGTATAGAGCTCTATTACTTCAATTTGAATAATTGAAATATATTTATATCAGAACATGTGAATGATTTTAATTATACTCCTCATTATTTAATATAGTATTTATATACTTATTTTATATAATATAATTTATGGGTAAAACTAGACAATTGCGGCCTATACGCCGATGACCTTGACCTTGACATATGTTGTCAAGGACACCTTCCCGAGTAATTTTATGTATGTATATAATAGGCGGACTCGAATAGTTTAGCCCCTACCCGATCTCAAAGTTTCAAAAGATTTTGCTGCATATTTTCGAAAATATCGATTGCACATATATTTTCATGCAAAGCGAGGTATATTTTATATCACGGACACTGGTTGGATTAAGTTATATCTTGCGGAAGTAGAGCCCCCTGCAGGGAGGCAGAACACACTGTATCCACGCATGTATTTTCGCGAAGTTCACAATTTTGGTTGAATTTCAAAAATACATACGTAGGTACAGTGTGTTCCGATCCCCTGCAGGGGGCCTTATCTTTCTGATTATTCGAAAAAAGTTTGCTTTATTTATGAAATATAGATACAAATTAATTATGGATTAGTTGTATTCGATCCTGGGGGAAAAAATTTCCCGACAGCCTCAAAGAAACTGACTATTCGGTCGTCAAACTTGTATTGTCGTTTAAAAAAAAATTCTGCCATGTATCCGATGAGGTGTTTCTCTCGTGTGCCGTATCGCGGAATATTGGCTCGAACTTCTCGCCATGTTCGTTCAATATTCTGGGTATGAGCTCCTACGGTAATATTATACTTATATTCTTATCGTAACGATAAAACAATACAAATTTTATTACTTACCAGTTTCTGGATCTACAAAATTCATTGAGTGATTTACAGTTAAATGGATGAAGCCTTCGTTATTTAAACAATCATAAGCCCGCCACATATCTGATATTATTGTAGTTTTTGGCAAAATCCACTGTTTTATAACACTTAATAATGTTTCTGCGGTGCGATTTTTGACCGGTACAATGAAAGCTTTGCCTGTACCACGCTCAAAGCCACCAAAAATCCATTTACCTGTAACTAGACGCCCACGATTGTATTTGCGTTTACCAATTTTGGCTTCATCTATCTCGACAACAATTCCTTTTCCGCCAATCGGATTTTGTTGAGCCTCAAGCCACATAACGCACACCTGAGATGTAGTTCAAAATAGTAGGAAATATTTTTTTAAAGTGTAAATGTAATTACTAGATAAATTGATACAATATAACTTACCTCACGGCAAAAACTTGACCAGTCAACTATAGTTTTATCGCTCAGCTGTAATTCTTGTTTGAAGAATTCAAAACGTGGAGGACGTATCATGAGAAAATACGCAACAAAACGAGTAACTATCGCAATATCGAGATTACAATTGGCTAGCCACGTATTAGTTTTAGCACTTTGTTTAAATTCACATTGTGAGGTTTTTTTTCTTTTATGATTGCGTTGGATAGTAATCGATTTTCGACACCGAAAAAATAATGTTGACATATTGAAAGTAAGTTTATTATTACACTGCGGACATATCATTTCTGTATTCATTACATTACATTTTTGCAAAAATTCTATTAATTCATTTTGGCGATCACACATCGATAAAAATTCATATAATTTCATTTTTCCGTAAATTTTAATCACATGAAGTTACAGAAGTGCCCAACAGTGAACTGTGTTCGATCGAATAACGTGACCTAGGTATGATTTCTGTATCATAACAACACGAAAATAATACGGCGCGATGTTCATGTATGTTGCTAGATGCGTAGTTCATAACATAACAACCGAAATAATAAGTTTACAAAAAAAATGTACATAACTTGTTTTGTAAAATTTTTCAAGATTTTTAACTTTTGTGAATAACTTTTTTCTCTACAATCAATATTTAAGAACATATATGTTGAAAATCTATTTTCTTCATGGTTTTTTCTAATTTTGAGATATTTCCAATTTCGACCGCCATTTTTAAGTTTCATATTCGTTTTCAGGAAGCAAAAATACGTATGAAATAGCTATTTTTTCGATCAAAACACATTTTCTGAAACATAATGTACATATATTTTCATGCAAAGAGAGATATATTTTATAGCACAGACGCAGGATAGGTTAGATTATACCTTCCGGAAGTGGAGTCCTCCGCGGAGGCGGAACACAGTGTGTCTACGCATGTATTTTCCAAGATGAAGCAAAGTTCACAATTTTGCTTGAATTTGAAAAATACATGCGTGAATATTAACTTCGAGATGGGGTAGGGGCTAAACTATTCGAGTCCGCCTATTATATACATACATAAAATTACTCGGGAAGGTGTCCTCGACAACATATGTCAAGGTCAAGGTCATCGGCGTATAGGCCACAATTGTCTAGTTTTACCAATTTATGTAATATATTTTAATAATATATTTTATATAACATATTTTAATAATATATTTTATAATATATTTTATATAATATAATTTATATATTATACAGGGTGTCTGCTAAACATGCGGCAAAAATTCAGGGGGTGATTTATTGGGTTATTTTAAGACTTTTTTGTTATCTGATGATTTTCGAAAAAATGCTTTGTTTCGAAAATGAAAGCAATAAAAATTTTTTGACCAATTTTTTATTCCATAGATAACAGGCGATACAGATTTTTTAACAAAATTATTGACATTACGGTTGGGAAATCGTTCAATGTACAATCGCCTAGCCCGTAACGAATTTCCATCGGTAAGACCATACATGCATGTCAGTCATCTCAGCGTTCGTATAGCGATTCATGAACACTAACAAAAATTTAACTATCAATGGCAAATAAACAAATTTTGTTATTGTTTTCAACATCTGCACTAGCTTGTTTATTTAGACTACGTTAATACTTGAAAAAAACCTGTATCGCCTGTTATCTATGGAATAAAAAATTGATCAAAAAACTTTTATTGCTTTTATTTTCGAAACAAAGCATTTTTTCGAAAATCATCAGATAACAAAAAAGTCTTAAAATAACCCAATAAATCACCCCCTGAATTTTTGGCGCATGTTTAGCAAACACCCTGCATATACAGGGTGACCCATTTTAACTTAGGCAGCCAAATAACTCGAAAAATAAGCACACTACGAAAAAATGGTTAAAATCAAAATTTCGTCATTTCGAGGGGGACGTACAATGACGTTAAAATCAGCCCCTCCACCCCTCCCCCTGGGCGGTGAGAGGGGGCAAGTTTGAAATCTTAAATGGAACCCCCTATTTTTCATTGCATATTCTTGTAGCTTATCTCGAGAGCTTTCCAAAACACTATAATTAAGTACCTTTTTATTAAGTACTTTTTGAGTTATAAGGCTTAAAATAATTTCTTAATTTTACATAAACCATAAAATATCTAGTAAACCATTCATTTTTCGATTATCTTACCTTCATACTTTTATGTACAAAATAATGAGAGGAATCAATTGGTGTAAAAAAAACATACAGTTGTTTTTAAGAAAAAATATGGAATTGTTAATGTGGTATTTTTAACAAATTTTTATTTCAATTTTTTTACAATTTTGGGGCGCCAAGCTATTCTTGGCGAAGACTTAGTTAATCGCAATTTCCCTAGTCTTTCTCCTCTACTATTGTAGGATTCAGTCTGAGTTCCCCTAGAACGTTTATTGGATGAACGAGGAGTTCTCGGAGGAGAGGAACAAGGCGTTGCAGGGATCGGAGAAAATGTCCTTGCTGTTAAATCTATCGGGATGAGTCTCCAAGGAAGGAATTGGATAATCCTTCGAGGATTGGTTGGCATCTGGAAGGTCTCGAGGATCCCGATGATCTGGAAGGTCTCGGGGATCTGGAAGATCTCGAAGATCCCGAAGATTTGGAAGGTCTCGGTGATCTCGAGGATTCCGAGGATCTGGAAGGTCTCGGTGATCTCGAAGGTTCCGAGGATCCGGAAGGTCTCGGTGATCTGGGAGATCTCGAGGTTTCCGAGGATCTGGAAGGTCTCGGTGATCTCGAGGATTCCGAGGATCTGGAAGGTCTTGGTGATCTGGGAGATCTCGAGGATTCCGAGGATCTGGAAGGTCTCGGTGATCTCGAGGATTCCGAGGATCTGGAAGGTCTTGGTGATCTCGAGGATTCCGAGGGTCTGGAAGGTCTCGGTGATCTGGGAGATCTCGAGGATTCCGAGGATCTGGAAGGTCTCGGTGATCTCGAGGATTCCGAGGATCTGGAAGGTCTCGGTGATCTCGAGGATTCCGAGGGTCTGGAAGATCTCGGTAATCTCAAGGATTCCGAGGATCTGGAAGGTCTCGGTGATCTCGAGGATTCCGAGGGTCTGGAAGGTCTCGGTGATCTGGGAGATCTCGAGGATTCCGAGGATCTGGAAGGTCTCGGGGATCTGGAAGATCTCGAGGATCCCGAAGATCTGGATGGTCTCGGTGATAAGGTATACCACAAGGGTTTTCAAAAAGGACAAAAGGACTACTCACTGAGTAGCTAAAAGCTATTTCAGCGAGGTTACAAGTTGGTTGGAAAGTCGTCGACCGCATCTTCCTTTATATACTTCGCAATGTTTTTCAATAGCGAGAAAATTATCTTATCTGTCGCGCCCTTCAGCGGCATAAATTAAAATTGAGATTAATTATTTATTGAGATTGCGCCAACTTCATTACGCTGGTCAGCGCTTCCCGAGATCGCGCTCGATGTGACGAGCGTCAGGGACGCCACAGTTAATTGCAAATTACATATTTTTTCTTAGAAACAATTATGTGTTTTCTTTACACCAATTGATTCCTCTCATTATTTTGTACATAAAAGTATGAAGGTAAGATAATCGAAAAATGAATGGTTTACTAGATATTTTATGGTTTATGTAAAATTAAGAAATTATTTCAAGCCTTATAACTCAAAAAGTACTTAATAAAAAGGTACTTAATTATAGTGTTTTGGAAAGCTCTCGAGATAAGCTACAAGAATATGCAATGAAAAATAGGGAGTTCCATTTAAGATTTCAAACTTGCCCCCCCTCACCGCCCAGGGGGAGGGGTGGAGGGGCTGATTTTAACATCATTGTACGTCCCCCTCGAAATGACGAAATTTTGATTCTAACCATTTTTTCGTAGTGTGCTTATTTTTCGAGTTATTTGGCTGCCTAAGTTAAAATGGGTCACCCTGTATAATTATATAAAAAGAAAAAGTTGACTACACATAGGACCTTTTTATTTCTTCAAATCACATTTTTTCTAAAAGAAGGAATGAAAAAATGATTCTGTTAATTATTCACCAATTATTCTTTTTTATTTTTTTTCTGTATATACGCAGCAGAGTACAAGAATAAGAAAACATATATATGTATATAGGTATACATATGGATGTAGGTATATTTTATACATAATTTTATACATAATTATGTATATAATTATATGTATAAACTTTTTTCCTGGGTAAGAATATCATTATTCTTTATTTAAAAGATGTTGCATTACATGTTTTAGGAGATATAAATATTATCTTTTATATTTAAAAAGATAATATTTATATCTCCTAAAACATGTATTAATGATATTCACGAATTTACAGTATCTATACGGTTTACTTATAAATATAACATTAAAATTGATAATTAATATTCTACATGCAATTTATACTTATATAAATCAATTTTATTATAACATGTTCGAAAGTTTCTTGCGTTTGATGTTAAAATGAAAAATAATCAAAAAATGTTTATCGTTAAAAATATCTTGCCCATCCTTAAGAATGCTGTTCTTATTTATGATTTAAATATATGTTATTTTCATATAAATCGTTTTAAATTTTGACAGATGCTTATGAAATGCCTGCTCGAATGGGAAAAATGGACAATATAGAAAAATTTGATGCGAAATTTTTTAATATGTCGATCGAAGAAGCTCATACGCTTGATCCTGGAATTAGAATATTGCTCGAAAACACTTATGCAGCAATTATTGACGCAGGTGTCAATCCTGCAGAATTGCAAGGAACAAGGACGGGAGTTGTCACAGTAATGTCAAATTCTGAAACATCTCTCAATATAATATACGAAAAGCCTCATGTATGTCAATAATTTTATTATTCCAGACTCATGTATGTGAATAATTTAACTACTTAAAATCAATAGAAAAAACACTCTTAAAACTATATAAATGTATTAATATGTATATACAAGGATATTGTAACAAAAATTTTTTTTTATATAAAAACTGTATTATAATTAGATTGCTGGATTACCCATGCTTGGTTGCAATAAAAGTATGTTGGCAAATAGAATTTCTTACTTTCTCAACGTTACTGGACCATCGTATAACATCGATACTGCATGTAGCACGAGCAGTTTGGCTATGGTAAAAGCTTACAATTTGATTCGATCTGAATATTGCGATGCAGTCGCTAGTGTCAGTTTGTGCATTTATCCTCAAGTAACTCAACAGTTTTATCTTCTGGATATATCAAAAATAATATTACTATGATTAAAGATGTTGTATTCGAGAGAGTGTTAAATGGTTAAAGTTATTTATTGATGCATTAATTAATACAATATATTTGATCTAATAGTTTCTCTTTTCAAAATATATCAATATAATTGATTCGCTTATTTAACATATTTATCAAACTTTTCAAATATCTGATAAATTAATTAAGACACCGAGAACAGAAAAGTAAATTACAATTTTCATATTCAATCGAATAAATTATTAATATTATTTTAGGAGTTTTATCCGCCGATGGCTACTGTAAACCTTGCGATGAAGAAGGTACCGGTTACATGCGTAGTGAGGCGGCTACAGTAGTGTTCTTGCAAAAAGCAAAGGATGCAAGAAGAATCTATGCGACTTTTGTTTATGGTAAAGCCAACTGCGATGATTTTAAAGAAGAGGGAATTACTTTTCCATCATTAGATAAACAAAAATTATTATTGGAAGAATTTTACAAAGATTGTAACGTTTCGCCTCGTGAGCTGTCTTATCTAGAAGCTCATGGCGCTTGCAACTGGCACTATAGCCGGCGATTCAGTGGAGCTTCAAGCAATCGACGAAGCTTTATGCATCAAAAGAGATTTTCCTCTATTAATGGGTTCAGTAAAATCGAATATTGGACATTCTGAACCCGTTAGCGGTCATTGTCAAATTGCAAAGGTAAGTTTACAACAAAGATTTACAAAATGGAGTTGAAACATCTATGTAATTTAATGCTATGTAAACTTATGTATCTTTTTTATCTGTAATTTTTGATTATTCATTATAATTATTATTTATTAATTATTTATTATAATTATAAAACTAAGATATTATTATATATGTATATTATAATAAATATATTTCCTTTGTAAAGGTTTTAATAGCGATGGAAACTAATATAATTCCTCCTACTATACATTTTAAACATCCACGAAAGAATATGACTGCTATCATTGAAGGAAGAGTAAAAATAGTTTCTGAACCGACAGAATGGAAGGGTGGCTACATCGGTATCAATTCTTTCGGATTTGGTGGTGCTAATTCCCATATATTATTGAAATCAAATCCGAAAATTAAAGTTAATGAAACAAATAATAATTTACCTAAGCTTGTAGTTATATCTGGACATACCGAAGAAGCAGTTAAAATCATGTTAAATGACGTAAGTATATATTACTACAAAATAATTTAATACAAAAAATAAAAAATATATTAGTACGAAATAAAAGGTAAAAATGATTTAAAAAATTGTTTATATAAAGAATTTAAAAAAAATCATCGTTAATATAATAAGTAAATTATATTTAATTAAAGTAATCACGTATTAAAATACTAATTTTAATAATGAGATCTAAATATAAAAGTTATATAGATAGTTTCAAATTGGTTTTAGTCAATAAAAACACGGAAAAAGAGTAGAATATTATATGAACAAGTCTAATTGTAAGATATATTAAAATCGATTCTTCTCGAAATGCATCTTTTAATATATCTAGTTGGATAAAGTGACTACATAATATTCAACATGACAATAAATTATAGAATATAAATTATAGATAATTATAAATATAATAAATAATATAAATTATAAATTATAGAATATTTAAAGGCACTCAGATTTTTCAAAATTAAATATATAAAACATTTACTTAACTAAAAATAAATTTCTAATTATAATTAACTTTAAAGAAGAATAATCTATTAAAATGTTATAAGATAATTATACTTTTACAATTATATTATATTATAATTAATATACATAGTACAGTATTTACAGCGACGAAGGACAGACGTATTTATTCTCTGCTCTAGTCTCGTACGTTTCTCGATTTAATTTTATTTCTATCGATCATGAATGGTAGAAAAACGTGCAAGGGCTGTGGTACAATCGTTGTAAAATCAATTGGCTGCAAAACCTGCGGTATTGCATCTCATCCTGCATGCTTCTCCCGCACTGGACACCCTCATTTTAATGGTCAATTTAGAGATTGCTCGGGATTGCTTCGACATCCTGCGCGTCGCAACAGATAGATATGAACTCTACTCTTCTCGATGCAATGAAAGATTTATTGCATGCTGAGTTCAAAGACTTCCGCAGGGAGATGAGAGAATTGTATCGGGCTGAAATTGATAAATTGAATAACGATCCAGGGATCCAGGGATTGTGCAATAGAGTGGAGCAACTCGAAAACCTCTTGAATAAGTCGCAGCCTCAGGCATCATCATTTTTTGGAGGAGGACATCATTGAAGAGCTGGAGGATAGAGAGAGAAGGGCAGCAAACCTAATCTTTTACAATATGGATGAAGCTGAGGACGGGGGCTGTAACGACGTTGATCTTGCTAGTGAGATTATTCGGAAGATTAATTCAGGGAAAACTCCTCAGATAAATAAAATTTTAAGATTAGGCCAAAAGCGCCTAGGTCACTCTAGACCGTTGCGTGTTTCTCTTCCTTAAAAACAAGAAGCTTTGTTTATACTTCGGAATAAGTACCGTTATGCTGGCCCTATAAAAATCTCACAAAACCAAACGTTAAAACAGAGGAAACATCTACATGAATTACAATCTCAACTGAAATCACTCATCGATACGGGTGAAACGAACACACTGTCTTTCGGTTGAGGAAGTAAAATCGTCTAATGCAGATATTTTATTAATTGGCGATTATAATCTGCCTAATGCGTTTTGATCTAACAATGATAATCGTTCTAATCATTATCATATGACAGAACAGGCAAATACAATATTACATTTTTTTAATGAATTCAATCTTCGCCAATATAATAATATTGTCAACATAAATCGTAATATACTCGATCTTGTCTTTTCTTATTTGCGGGATGTCTCGGTTCATCCGATATCGGAGTCAATATGTACCTGTGATCATTACCATCCTGCCATCACAATCTCTTTGCCGATGTCAACGGGACCATTGTCCTTTTCATCGCTCTCTGAATGGAGGTTTAACTTCAAGCGTGCTAATTATGAAGAGATAAATAATTACTTAGGAAATATTATGTGGGATGATGAACTAAGTCATCTGGATGTTAATAGCGCGATAGATTTTATAGTCACCTCGATTACGCAATTACTGCTTTTGTTCCAAGATACTTGCCGCGAAGATCGACTTATCCCGCCTGGTTTTCTAAAGATCTAATAATTCTTACTAAAGAAAAGAAATTCGCTCATTATAAATTTAAAAATACGCAACGCTACTCGGACTATCTTGCATTCTCTCAGTTAAGAGCCAGATGCAATTCTCTCTCGTCGAAGTGCTGGAAGGTTTATATTCGGAGGTCAGAACATGCAATTTCTAGCAATGTGAAAGTATTTTGGAACTTTATTAGTTCCATGTCCTTGTTTAAGTCGTCAACACCTTTTATTTGTCATAATGGCCGTGTTATTGAAGACGGTACCGCGATTGCCAATTGTTTTGCGAACTTTTTTGAATCCGTGTAATCACTTGGTAATGGGAGCAGTATTGGGAAGTCGAGGTACAATCATGACTTAAATATATTAAACATCGATGTCACTATAAGTGACATTTTTAATAGCATTAATTCTCTGCATGACGGTTTTGCCCCGGGTGCGGATGGCATTCCTCCAGTTTTTCTTACATCATGTAACTTTGTAATGTCGAGAGTGCTCTGGTTGATTTTTGAGAAGTCTTTGTCGTGCGGTATTTTTCCAAGCTTGTGGAAATTGTCCATTGTCACTCCAGTATTTAAAGATGGTGATAGGTCTTTAGTCTCCAACTACAGATCGATAAGCAAACAAAACCCGATGCCAAAGATTTTCGAGAACATTGTTGCCGGAAAACTCTCGGCGCTGTCAAAAAATGCATTAATCGATGAGCAACACGGCTTTGTGGCTGGTCACTCTACTGTAACCAATCTACTTATTTACCATGATTTTATAATTTCTGCCGTTGAGGAGAGCTCACAAATTGATGCGGTATACACTAACTTTCGGAAAGCTTTTGACAACGTTGATCACGCCGTATTATTACGCAAATTGCAGGCATTTGGGATCGGCGGATTATGGTTGAAATGGTTATCGGATTTTGTGACGGATAGACTGCAGGTTGCTAAGTTTAATAATTGCTTTTCTCGGACCATTCTTGCTTCTTCGGGGGTGCCTCAAGGCTCGCACTTAGGACCGCTCTTATTTAATATATTTATTAATGATATTAAGAATGTATTTGAGAACTGTAATTTTCTGTTATACGCAGATGACTTGAAAATTTTCGGCCGTGTTACAACCTCCGATGATGCGCGGCTTCTGCAGTCTGATCTCTACCGACTTGATGATTGATATTCTGAGAATGGCTTGCGCTTTAACTTAACTAAATGCCAAGTGATTCACTTCACCCGCAAAAGATATGTAAACAAGCACGTGTATTTTTTAAACGGAGTCCCTCTCGGCTGACTCCATTCGTGACCTGGGGGTTATCTTTTGCTCGAACCTGTTTTTTGAACTCCATATTCAGACATTGGTGAATCGTGCATACAGAAAACTAGGCTTCATGCGTTCATGTAAATATTTTCATAATATCTCCACACTAAGGTTACTGTTTTGCGCTTTGGTTAGACCACACCTTAAATATGCTGTTACGGTGTGGGCTCCATATCAAACATAGTATTGCTTAATGATTGAAAGCATTCAACACCGCTTTCTTCTCAGTTTTCTCACGGACAATCCTATGCACTATTCGGACCATAATTATGTTTGAATAATGAATTTGCTTAATCTCGAAACACTGGAAAATAGAAGGAGATTTTTTGATATCCTACTTCTCTTTAAATTAATTAATGGGTATATAACCTGTCCTGATCTTACTGGCCGTATTGGACTGCACGCCCCTGTCAAATCATTGAGAGTTAACTCTATCTTTCATGAGGAGTCGCACCGTATATCCTATGGCAGATTTAAACCCCTTAACCGAATATGCCTATTGTCTAACGAAATATCTAATCGAATTGATTTTTTTCACGGCTCTCTTAACAAATTTAGATGCTCTCTATCCAAATGTTTATACTAGCCCTTCCGCTGTAAAAAAATTGTAATGTACGAGGTGTGTTTAAAAAAAAGGTGACTTTTTATTTTTCTCGAAAAATATTTATTTATTCATCAATATCTATTTTGTCCCCTTCAAAGTAATCCCCCTCAGATATTATACACTTGTGCCAGCGCTTTTTCCAATCCTCGAAGCACTTTTGATATGCGCTTTTTGGTATGGTCTCGAGCTCTTCCAGCGGTCTTTATCTCCTCAATCGTGGCAAATCTCCGTCCTTTCATGGGTCTTTTCAGTTTTGGGAACAAGAAAAAGTCGCAGGGGGCCAAGTCCGGTGAATACGGTGGCTGAGGCATGGTTACGGTGTTGACTTTGGCCAAAAAATCATGAACAAGCAACGACGTGTGAGCTGGCAATTTCGAAATAAACTTCGCCGCCACATGTTGCATGCCCAAAACACCCGAAAAAATTGCATGGCATGAGCCAACCGATATGCCGACATCCTCAGCAACTTCTCTAATAGTGATTCGACGATAACAATTTTCTCCATAACAATTTTCTTCATTGCTTCGACGTTGTCATCGGTTGTTGAGGTGTTGGGGCGTCCAGAGCGGGCATCGTCATTAACATCTTCTCGACCTTCTGTGAAGAGCTTGTACCACTTGTAAACATTTTTTTTTGCTCAGAGTAGACTCGCCAA